CTTGAAGTGCCCTTCTGCGTCATCATCACGTGCCCACATGGAGGTGCCGTCATCATGCAAAGAATCTGCGCAAAGGATCATGGAAGCCCGAAGTGTCCATCAGTTGTATACTTCGAAATCCTTCATTCCGAAGGGCCCTTTGAAGTGGCCAGGTTTGAGCACTTCGGTTTGGAATGACCCTTCAATATGGCAGCCATGATTGTTTTCACTCCGAAGTGCCCTTCGGATAGCGATATATCCCGTTTGGAATGCACCATCTGTCTTTTCCTCGCTCTCAGATTGGTCTTGAATCACTTTTAAGCTAAGACTCCTAGTTAAGACATTTTTAAGCTAAATTAGGAGCTCTCTGAGAGTATTCTTAGAATCTTTAAAAATACAGGCCCAGGACATTACTCAAATCAAATTGCATACTTTTCCAAACTGCATAGGAAACCTGGCATTAAACACTAAAGAACACGAAACATGAAAGGTTTCCCATTCGTCAGCTTAGCTTTAAGAATGGTGCTTGCGAACACCCCTTTTGTGGCCGCTACACCCTTGTGTGCAATTCTGTCGAGCCTGTTCTGAGGCAAGCTTTGCAGCAGACTTCTTCCTGACAGTCAAAGCAGCATTACGTCATGAATATGTGGACTCAGTGGAAGACTGTGAGGGTTTAGGGTGCCATTTGGAACAGGGCCGAAGACTGCCTTTCAAGGATCCTTCAAAGTGAAGTGCTTTGATGGCAGCCGAGATTTACAGCCTAACTAGGTTGCATCCTTCCATTTGAGAAGCACCCTCTATAATGGAGTAATGTATGGAATAGTGAATGAAGGTAGAGGGAGCCCAGACTTTAGGATATGGGCGGGGCAAGGGGTGGTGGTACAGGGGCATTGAAATCAGCTAAAATCTGATTGGCTGCCTTAGTGACTTTGCACTGGATCATTATTGGTGGCTGGGAGCCATATAAATTCATTCTTAATTCTTGAAGGTTTCTTTGGTCTTGTCTTTAAGAACTATGGTTCTAACACTTTTTGACTGTTCAATATCAATGTTATTAAATAGCAATGGGAATCATATAAGATTTGCAAGTGATAAACTACACCTTAGTATCATATAAAAGAATGTCAGTTCAGGTGGTGGTTAACCTAAAGAATAGCTAAAGAATTGCCCTCCCAATGTTTCTTTTGTTTGACGAGTAATTTCTCACACCCTCAGAAACTGCTCATCTTACACAACACAATGTTTAGTCCCAACCAGAACAACTTGATGTGCAAGATACCAAGTGAACTCTACGCATTGAGTTCATTGTTGAGGAAGGCATGTCTAATTCAACAAAGCATTTAAACGGCTGTGTGTCTTGATCAAACACATTATATTGGTTGTGGCGGTTCAGGAAATAGAGGGAATAAGTTCAGTTTAACAAGGTTTGCTTTCCTCCAGTTTGACAAGTGGGCAGGACACTGGAAAAAAAGAACGAAACTTTGTGAAAACAAAAAAGTCGGTGAGATTTCTTTAAAGCGTTGGAAGGCAGAAGAAAGCAACCAGGGGAAAGTAAAACCCGATGTAGTTATGATAGTTGAGGCAACCGCAACAGAAGGAGCGCAATCGGACTCCAACAAACCTGCTCTGCTCGCGACGGCGACAACAGAAGCTGAGGAGACGCACGCGCCGCTCGGCTCTGACTCCGTCAGCTTCGCTGCAGCTCGTCTGTCTGCCTGTTGTCATGGAGGAGCCAAGATGGCGGTCCTGGCCTATAGCCTAGGCAAACGGGAAATAAATCAGTATTTCAGCATCAAAAATGCAAAACTGCTGTCTGTCGCCGCCGTCGTCCTTCTCACTGTGTTTCACATGGCTTCTCGGCATTATGGAGGTGAGAGTTTGTGTGGCGGTGTGTGAGAAAGAGCTGCGTGTTTGTGTTAGCGTCGATGCTAATGCTGTCACTCAAATGTTTTCTGGGAGCATGTGTGCGTATCTGTCACTGCTAGATAACAGCAGCAGCTTTGCTCGTGAAAACACGAATAAACTGTGACCGCGCTTTTACTTTTAAACGGACGTCTGTTTGGCGTAATTTTATAACGAAGCACAGCATTTTACCTGTCAAAGGTTTTATCTAATCAATAACAGATCAAAGCTAAAAACCAGTGTTGTCGCCCAGCTGGACTGTCATCAGGGTTGCATTTACAGTCAGACTTCATTCCTTGACGCATAGCGCCCATTAGGCCGTAACTTAAAAACAGGTGACAGGTAGTATTTTGGAGGGGCATTATAGGCCTGTCTGATGGCCAAAAATAGATAGGCTAAACCGATATAAAGTTGGTTCGACGTTTTACATTTGTCAGAGATTCAGCCTCGGAAATCTTCAATAGTTCTTTAACGATCTAGCACAATGACAAGAAACATACCGTGTTCTAATTGTTTTCAAATGTAGAAGAGATCACACAATGTGTTTTGTTTGTTTTAATCTGCCTTGAGGTATTGTAACTGATAGACCTTAGAATGTAATAGTGCAGGAGAGGGACCGTCTGCAAAGTGCAAAAAGAAGAGCAAAAAGCACAATTATTCCATCTAAATGCTTCACTTGTGAAATGTATAAAAAATAAATATCAGACCTAAGGGGTGTGTCTTATTACTGGTTCATAAAAGAACATTTAGATGTTGGTTTTATTCACAGAACTATAGCACGACAAAAGCTATTGAAATGGAACAATTGAGAAAAAGCTTGCAAAGCATTACAAAGATTGTGCAGTTTACCGCCCCCTAGAGGAAGATATTGCACTTGTTTTGACCAAGTTTGACATTCAGAAGTTTAAAGCTGCAGTCCGTAACTTTTTTGGTTAAAAATTATCAAAAAATCAACATTTGAGCAAGTACATAACCAGCCAGTGTTCAGAACTATCAAGTTTGACATTCAGAAGTTTAAATAAATTAATTTAGAATGCACACAGTTTGATATGTAAACTTAAATGGGTGTGTCTTGTTACTTGTTCAAAGAACAGTATTTACAGCCATCTTTTACTATCATATGTAATTCAGGATGCACGCTATTGAATTAAACCTGAATCTGTTAACACATTCATTTTTAAAACATACAGTATTCCATCTCAATTTCAAAGGGTGTGTCTTGTTAATGTAGATGTTGTTTTTTTTCACAGAACTATAAGACAACACATGATATTAAAATGTAAACAAATACATCAATTAATTTCCTATAAATGTACTCTTCTATCTCAGTTTCTAAGGATGTGTCTTTATACTTGTTCAAAAGAACATTTCAATGTTGATATTATTCACATAACTATAAGACAAAAAAACTTATTGAAATGTAAAAATTGAGAAAGAGCTTATTAAGATGTGCAGTACACCGCCCCCTAGAGGAACACACAGCAGTTGTTTTGACTGAGTTTAAAATTCAGAAATGTGAATAAATAAATTAAAAATACACAAAGTCTGACATGTCAATTTTAAAGGGTGTGTCTTGTTGCTGGTTGATAGAACAACATTTGCATGCTGGTCTCATGCACAGAACTACAACACAAGGCACGATATTGAAATGGCAGCAAATAAATCTATTCATTTCTAATAAATACGCTCTTCTGTCCCAATGCTAAGGGGTGTGTCGTGTTACTGGTTCATGGAACATTTACATGGTGGTTTTATTCACGAAACTGCAACACAGCAAAAGCTATTTAAATATAAGGATTGAGCAAAAAGCTCACAAAGCCTTTCATGGATTGTGCAGTACACCGCCCCCTAGAGGAACATGTTGCATTTGTTAAGACTGAGTTTGACATTCAAACTTTTAATAAATTAATGTATGTACAGTAGTCAACATTTGAAGTGGATCAAAAAAGTTAATCAAAGTTGTCCAAAGACAAGAACGCATTTTGGTTTTAGGACAACTTTGATGAAAGGTTTTGATCCACTTCAAATGTTGAAAAATATCTTACTCAGGACAGTACTAAAAAATAACATGCATTTTGTGTGATCCCTCTTACAAAACATTAATGTGTTTTTAAAGAAACAAAACGGACCCTTTGAAAATGAGCTCGAAAATTGAATTTTTAACTAGGGTAAACGTACCTATTAAGCTCACCAAAATCTACATTGAGACATTTTTAGTGCACAAGATATTGGTTTCAGTATAAAAAGTTATGTTAAAATAAAATATTAATCTCTCACACAAAAATATTTTATTTTAAATTTACAAAAGCATTTCAATTAAGATATGCATCATTAAATGCAAAAAGTCTGGCTGTGCTTAATGGGTACATTTCTGTACCCACACCCCTGTTCCCATTAAGCTCACATCATGTTTTATTAAAGTTATACATTCTTGTTTATTTTAAGGAACATTTTTAAATAATAATTGTAAAAATATATTTTTTTGAAGGTACAAAGTCAATCACAAAAAAAACAGAACACTAAAATCAAGCAACAAGGCATTCAATTTGATCAGTTATATATTCATAGTCAAGTGTTATTTAAGCACATTGCAACAAATAGACTAGTCCATGTTCAGCTAAGTAGCACATATTCAAAATTCAAATAAAACAAACCAATAAAACATTTAATTCATGGGGATGAACACACAAACTAGCCTCATTATGAAGCCTCTTATTAAATGGATGTCAACTTATCTGTAGTCTCTTAAGGCTGAAATCCACTACACAATTTTTGCCCCGATTTTCCACCGATTTACAGTCTTGAGAAGTTGATGCTAGTTGCTGAAGGTCAGAGCCATTCTGCAGATTTGAGATGACCAATTCCATAGAAAATCGATCAACTTAACTTAGTGACAACCATCAGTTTATATGTAAAGTCTGTTTACGAAGTATTTACATAGACGTTCAATGTGGAAGAGCTTAAAGAGAGCACACTGAGGAGCGAGAGAGAGAGAAAGAGAGAGAGAGAGAAAGAGAGAGAGAGAGCGAGAGTGAGAGAAAGAGCGAGAGAAAGAGAGAGCGAGAGAGTGTTACACCAAATACACAAAATAATGATCTTTAAAAAAGCATCATATGACCCCTTTAAGGCTCTTTTAGGCCCAATTAACAAGACACAACTTTTGAAGTTAAGATGGAAAACTGTATGCATTTTAAATTAATTTATTAAAAGTTTGAATGTCAAACTCAGTCAAAACAACTGCAGTATCTTCTAGAAAATGTTTGTCTAGAAATCTCAAAGAAGACACAGCCTTTGGATTTGAGAAAGAAAGCTGCATGCATTTTAAATGAATTTATTAACAAATTTTTATTTAATTCAATAGCATATATTCTGATTTACATATGACAGTAAAACTTGCATGACTTCTAGGATCCAGTAACAAGACAAACCTTTTGAAGCTGAAATAGAAGACTCTATTGATTTTAAATTAATTTATTAAAGGTTTAAATGTCAAACACAGTCAAAGCCACTGCAGTATCTTCCTCTAGGGGGCAGTAATACTGGAGACTCTTTGGAAGGTTTCGCAAGCTATTATTGAATGTCAATAGCGTGACTTCTGCATCTCTTTTGACAATGAAAACTACTGTAAAATGTTCTTTAAGAAATCTGTAACAAGACACAGCCTTTGAAGCCGAGGTAGAAGATTGTATTTATTTTAAACTAAATTATGTATTGGTTTAATTTTCTATAGTATGTGTTCTATTATAGTTCTGTGGCTAAAACCACCATCAAAATGTTTGTCTAATCTGTAACAAGACACACCCATTGAAGTTGTGTAATAAAACTGTGTGTTATAAATTAATTTATAAAAAATTAGATTTTCAAATTCAAGTCAAAACAACTGCAAAACAACTCTTTGCCAGCTTTGTCTTAATTGTTGAATTTCAGTAGCATGTTTTCTGTTATAGTTTTGTGACTAAAACAAATATAAAAATGTTCTTATAAAAACAGTAACAAGACACACACCATGAGGTTGATACAGAAGAGTGTATTTATTTTAAATGAATTTATTTATTGGTTTAAATTTCAATAGCGTATACTTTTTTGGTGTACTTCTGTGAATATAACTAACATTAAAATGTTCTCACAAGGACCTGGAATCAGCCTACTGCATAACCACTGGATTATGGAATGATAATGATTTTTAATATAGTTTTTCTTTTATTAATATATTTTAGTGTTGGGCAATATGGTCATTTTTCAAATTGTCATATCGCCAGCCCGTGAGATCGCCGATACACGATATTATCGTGCTTTCGTGGGGGCAAGAGAGAGACTCTCTGTACTTATCATAGGCTATTTCATAACTATGTGGTGTTTTAAACTGTGTGGGCGAGCGAGAGAGAGAACCTATGAAAGCACCAATAATCGAAATAATATACTTTCAAACTTACTGATAAACTAACGTTAAATATAAAAAAATATTTAAAACAGCTATTTCATATATATTCAGATACAACAGTCATACATCGCTATTAGGACCGCAAGTCCTGTGACAAGTTTGCCACATCAGAGCACGAAAGTTATCAGTCTAAAAGGTCTGCAGTCAACGGTGAAAATCAAAAGTAGATTTATTTTAAAGACCAACAGTTTAACACTAAATATTGGACATAAATGAGCATGTTAAATATAAAAGTGCTTAAAACGGGTAAGTTCATATATTTGGAGTAAAGTTAAATTGAACGGATACATCAGTCATACAGCGCTCAGGACCGCGCGCCGCATGACGAGCCCGACGCGCCGCCACAGAAACAAGAATGAAATGCATTCTAACATAACTGTGGCATTAAACTCAGTTAGTGAGGGCTCGGTTAAAATATTGCACATATATAGGCCGTTCAGATTACTTGTAAAAATGCAATTAAATACCTTAGATCAGCAGACGATGTACGTCTGTGTTTGTGGTTGGAGACTCCTTCACCGGCTACAGGCTCTAATCCTCATTTGCGTGAGTGTGAAATGCTGTGCTGAAGTGAAATAGCGGGGCAATTTGATAATAATAGCCGAATTATAATAGGCCGCCTAATAATAATAATAATTTAATACATTTATAGGAGATTAAGGAGAATGAGCCTAATATCGTCTTGACTATCGACAAAGACATCTGCTATCGTCGATATCTCTGACTATCATCGATATACGATACTATCGTCTATCGGCACAACCCTAATATATTTATTCATAGTAATAATATAATAATAACCACTATCACATATCTTGTTTACAATATTTCTTATTTAAATTCAAGTGAGCATTATAAGTGTTTGTCTTTAAATCTTTCAAAGACCTTGGTGCACAAATTGCTCTTGTTTTGTTAATTGTAAAAAACTTCAGGTGGGAAAACATTAATCGTTTTATCCTCTACATGTACTTTGTAGACGGTCCCTATCTGGCCTAAGCGCTAGCGTGCCGCTGCTAGAGACTTTTATGCGTTGCAACATATCGAGGATGATTAAAACAAATAAACTGCGATGTGTGTTCAGTTCTACGTTCTAATGCTTTTCAGATAAGCCATTTTTTATACAGTTATACTCATCCACTAAGAAAAGTGGTTAACTAGATTTTGTAATCCAGCCAAACGCATGTAGTATATTTAAGGTTTATTACAGGTAACATTCATCTAGTCCTGCTTGTGTTGCCTGAAATTGAAGCATAATATTGTTATTGGTCATATCTTAATGTTTAGGCATGTTCAGGTGATATTATTGTCCTTAATACTATCAGAATTGCGCAATGAATATATCATCTCCTTTTATAATCAGTGATGAGCCCATCTAAAAATGAACATTTTTTTAATTGTTTACACCATGTACTTACTATGTTGAAAATTATTTGAAATGTGTAGATATGGTCTAAATATGTAATGTAAGCAAACATTCTATTCTCCTTACCATGCTGGCATAGAAGCTGTATGAGAGGCACATGGAGGATCAAAATATTGAAACTGAAAAGCCTTTATACACTATTTTTAAATCTTTGTTTATGTTGTACACTTTTCAGATGGATGTATTTGGCCGTTGTGGTTTTGCTGTTTTCACATGATCCTTCTAATGCTGATTTGATGCTCATATAATCAGAGATGAAAACAGTTGTGCTGTTTAATATTATGGAAACTGTGATTAATTTTTTCAGAATTGTTTGGTGAATAAAAAGGAACGTTTATTTGGGATAGAAATTTTATTTAACTATGTAAAAGTCTTTACTGCTTTACTGCACCCTTGCTGAATAACAGAATAACAATTAATTTCTTTTACAAAAATAAAATCTTACTAACCCCTAACTTAATTATATTATTCTTGAATTTGGTTTATTCACTATAATTATGCATTGTTTTTTTCAGGCAGTGACACATGTGACTGGCTTTTATCCAGTGGACGTTTTTTAGGGGACAATGTATGGCAGCCCTATGGCTGCATGCTACACAAGTACAAAAGCACGTAAGTCATAACTTGTGATTGGTAATGTACCTCAGTGATGCGTGTGGTATAGAAATGTGGGCTGGAATTTACAGTCCTTTTATTGTCTTTCAGTGAAGCAAAGTTTTGCCTCAGAGAGAAGAGAATAGCATTTGTAGGAGACTCTAGAATACGTCAGCTCTTCTATTCTTTCATCAAAATGATGAACCCTGAGGTGAAAGAAGATGGGAACAAGGTTTGTTGTTGCTATTCATTTCAGTAAGCCTTCTTTTGGTTAACTGATATAATGTATTTCAGACCAGATGGAGTATTTACTTCAAAGTCGTATTTTGTTCAATGTAGGATGGCCCCCAAGCAATTGCAACTTTAATAAATGTGCCATTCAAAGGATGCAGTTACATTAAAAAGGAAAGGGTGTAATTGTTCCTGGTTACCAGAATGTTACCGCTGGTATTTCAAAATATGCCCCTGAACAAAAGCAGTTGTTTATAGACACTAGCCTGGGCACAGGAATTTTTGTGTGTGGCAGACCTTTATAATTTTTTATGACTTTTATAAAACATGATTCATTCATTATGTGAGTGAAAGTGTATATGTAAATGATTTAAGGCCACTATGAAATAAAAACAGAGTTCTTATTTTTTATGGAATAACCATCGTTTTAAAGAAAAAAAATTCCTTCACTCTCCCCATTTCTACAATCTGATAAATTACAGATGAACAAAGTCAAGTCCCATGCTAGATGTTTTCCCTCTTTCGATAGCTGTTTCACTTATATGTTCATCAAATAGTGAAGGAAAGGTGGTCACTATTTCTGCTTTATCATGCCAACTTTAATTCTTCAATGCTCAAATGGGTCCACACTGATTTTCATAGACCGAAATCGCATGTCACCCTCCACAGATATGATTTCAACATAGCAATTTAAAATGCTCTTTACTATCACCATGTCTCTCAAACACACACACACAGTCACAAACATCATATGTTACCCTGGAGCACAAAACCAGTCATAAGTAGCATGGGTATATTTGTAGCAATAGGCAAAAATACATTGTATGGTTCAAAATGATCAATTTCTCTTTTATGTCAAAAATCATTAGGATATTAAGTAAAGATCATGTTCCATGAAGATATTTTGAAAATTTCCTACCGTAAATATATCAAAACTTAATTTTTAAGTTTTAAGTTTAAGCTAAGAACTTCATTTGGACAACTTTAAAGGCAATTTTCTCGATATCTTGATTTATTTTTGCACCCTCAGATTCCAGATTTTCAAATAGTTGTATTTTGGCCAAATATTGTCCTATCCTAATAAACCATACATCAATGGAAAGCTTATTTATTCAGCTTTCAGATGATGTATAAATCTC